ACGACGAGCCAGGGTCCCAGAGGCTGGGGTGAGCTGTCAGGCCAAGAGCAGGCTGGGTCAACCCAAGATGAGGCTCCCATGGAAGCAGACACAGCAAACAGGAAGTCCCAGCAGACACTAAGAAGGCTTATCAGGGCACAAGGGCAGAAGAGGGCAGGCTGACAGCTAATGAATGCACTTCCCCAGGACTTCCACTGAGAGGGAGCTGCGAAGGTGACATTCCGGGGCTGGGGGCGGTGGAGGGGGGTTCTGGGTGGAACGGGAAGTTGAATACAGCAAAACCTCTCAGGCCAGACAGGCACAGCACGGTAAGGGTTCCGTGGAGGTGCCCAGGGCTAAGAGCACTCAGTGGGATGGGAGGAAGCAGCTTCCCAGACAAGGTGGCGAGGGGCCTGGCCCAAGCCTGAACCATGAGAGATCAGGATTTGAAACAGCGGAGGAGGCCACCCCCACCAGGAGAGTGCTCAGCCTGAAGAACAAATGTGGAAGCTGGGGGTTGTGGTGTTTGTGGTTTGAGTATCTGGCCACCGCCTCCTCCTGCACCTGGCCTTGGCTCCCAGGATCATCCCCACTGGCCCAGCCCACCAACTTCCCCGAAGGGCAGCCACACAGGCTGGGGACCTGCCACCCTAACACGCTCTGTACCCCTCCCTGGCCACTATTTTTGCCCTCTGAGGTCACAGGGCTCTGCATCGTGTCCCGCCTCAGCAAATTCGCCCCCTTGGTTTCCCAAGAGCTGTCATTTCTCACTCTTTTCTGCAGAGGCCGGGAGCACAGGGCTTCCCAGAAGTCTGGTTCAATGCTATTTTGGGCTGGAGTCGCTTGGCAGAAATGAGCCGCCCACCCGCACACTTGGGAAGAGGCTGCCCAAGGGGACAGGCCGAGAGCTTTTGCTCTGCAGGAGTTTGAAGGAGGGTCCTCTGGGGCAAGAAGCAGCTCACGTGGTCGCTGGAGGCTGTAGGGACGAGCAGCTCTGGACAGACCCGATGGGCTTTGTTCACCCGGCTGGTGTGCTACCTCTGCCCGCAAGATGAGATTCAGGCGCCCCCCTCCCTGGGCTGGCATCACTTGTAGATCCATCCGGGGCTTTGGAAAGAACACCAAGTCAAATCCCGGAAAGAGGCTGAGACTGAAAATGGGTTCCAGCTGGAAGCCCACCAATGACAGTGGTGCCTCGCTCCCCCTGGGGGTCACGGGATGGGTGAGGTGGGAGGGAGCCGGAGGGGAGGAAACCCAAGTGCCCACCCTCCTGGCTCTTCGGTCCTCCTGGCTCCTCTCTCCCCCACTTCCTGCCTGACAAGGTCAGGGAAACCTGTCAGGGCTACAGAAGCTTCCAGGCAGGCACCCCTTAGGCCAGGTGAGGTGGGTGCTGCTTTTTTTCTTTTGAGTGATTTCAGAGAGGAAGGGAGAGAGAGAGATAGAAACATCAATGATGAGAGGGAATCACTGATCGGCTGCCTCCTGCACGCCCCACTGGGGATCGAGCCCGCAACCCCGGCATGGGCCCTTGCTGGGAATCGAACCGTGGCCCCCTGGTTCATAGGTCGATGCTCAACCACTGAGCCACGCCCGCTGGGCCAGGTGGGTGCCTCTTCTTTTTAAAAAATCTTTATTGTTGGAAGTATTACATATGTCCCCTTTGTCCCCCATCAACCCTCCCCAGGCCCCCTCCCCACCAGAGGCCCTCATCACCCCACTGTCTTCTTGGGTTACGCATATCTGCATACAAGGTCTTTGGTTGATTCCCTCCCACCTGCCTTCCAGGTGGGCACTTCTTAAAGGACCCTTTGCCCTCCTCCAGCGCCCCAGAACCACAGGCTGCCGCCTCTCTGAATGGCTGCGGGCGCTGACTCGGGGGCAGCCCTTAGCACCCACAGACTCCAGCCTTGTGCCCAGGCAGGAGCCCGGCCCCCTCCCCACACCTCTCGTCCCTTCCTACAGCCCATCCCCGCTCCCCTGGGGGCTCTGGCCTAAATCCTCAGGCAGCGGGAAACCAGTTATGTCCCCCACCAGTGCCTGCAATTCTTCCTGCCTCTTGTGCTACGTTCCTTCCTCCGATCCGCCGCCCCCTTCACTGGGCCGCCCCTGCCCCGGTGACTGAGGCTCCCCTTCACCCTCGGACACACATGTGAGGCGGGCAGGCCGG